TCTCCCTCTCTCCCTCCCTTTCTCCCTCTCTCCCTCTCTCTCTCTCAACCGGCTCAGGGTTGACTCAGCCTTCCATCCTTCCGAGGTGGGTAAAATGAGGACCCGGATTGTTGTTGGGGGCAATATGCTGACTCTGTAAACCGCCTAGAGAGGGCTGAAAGCCCTATGAAGCAGTATATAAGTCTAACTGCTAATGCTATTGCTATTGCTAAAAAAAGGTTGTAAAATGGGGCGACTCACTTAACAACCACCTTACTTAGCAATGGAAACTTTGGTCCCAACTGTGGACGTATATCAAGGACTCCCTGTATTATAATAACCAAGAGACATATGTGGGTGCAACATTAGGGATCAACCTTGAGTAAAGGTATTCTACTGTTACAATACATGTTTCAATAAAAGTGTAATTCAGGAAAGAGTTGACTCCTGTGCTTATTTCCTCAGTGATTTATTCTTATTGCCATATACAGTAGTCAGGGTGCTAGATTAGAAAGATTTTTGAAATGTGACGCAGCAAGACTTTCTCTGGGAACCAGGAAGACAATGTGGAAGAAAGAGAAAGAATTATAATGTAGCTTTGCACTTACTTGCACAGAAAACTCATTTACTGATGAGATGGAATGGTTTTTCCAGGTTGTGGTAACTGGAAAAAATGGTTACAGAAAGGGGACAAATTTAAGACAAATTAAAACTTGAATGCATGTTTTCACATACCAGAGAAGACTAGAGAGGACAGGCCCTTTTCCTTCATTTCCTCTACATTTTGACGAAAGAAATGAAAGGTGTGATATCAAATTCACCTGTTAGTAAGTATATTTTGGTACATGTGATGTATTTCAGAAAATCAGCAATTCTTCCATTGTGAGACGGCTTGGTGTCCAAGAGTGCAACCTTTTAGTCACCCAGCGCATCACGAAGTATCCTGTCCTGGTGGAGCGCATCATTCAGAACACAGAAGGTGAAAAATATGGCACTTATTTAGCCACTTTTCTTCTACCCTTTATCACAGGGGTTTCAAACTCGATTTCATTGAGGGCTGCATCAGGGTTGTGTTTGATCTTGGGGAGGGCATGGCTGGGGTGGGCATGGCCAGCTCAACATCATTCCTGTTCGGGGTGCCTGTGGTGGCCCGAGTGCTCTGCCAATGAAAACGGGCTCCTGAGCACCATTTTCACTAGGAGAGGGTTGCAGGAGGACATGGCAGCCAAAAACAGAACTCAGGAGCCCGTTTTTGCTGACAGAAGCACTGCAGGCTGGTCCTTTGCTGTTTCCAGGGCAGCCCCATGAGCCAGATCTAAGTACTCGGTGGGCCGAATCCGGCCCCTGGGCCTTGATTTTAACACCCCTGCTTTATCAGAAGGGCTCATTAGGGAACACAATTTGCCACAAGCAACATTGGGAACAGGGCTAAACTGTTGTATAGATGCAGAATTTCACTTTTCAGTATTTTTATTTCTGGATCCTAGATAATATTCTTTCCCAAATGTTTTAAGACAGTCCCTTCCCATTCATCAGGTTGCTTATCCATTTATTAGGTGAAACATTTCTCTGCCTTTTGGTAGCATCAAACAACATCTTCTGGGTAGCTAATGTATAAAAAAAAAAAACCTTAAGCACGGCCAAACCTAGTAATAAATAAATAAATAAACTAACTTGTATATAGGTTGATTCTCAACAACTCTTTAATGAATCAGAAGAAAATAGTGGAAAAGCACTTTAGTATTGCTGCCAAGAAAACCATATGGTCCTGCCCATATTTGCTGGACCTCTCCAGAACTACTTATGACCTGGTTTCAAAGTTCTGACAGCTACCCCTCCCCTCCCATTGTTACAGGATCGCATTTCTGATGTTTGGCAACCAGCCTGCATTTATCACCATTTATAGCATGTGACCACCGTGATTTATGACTTTCTCCCCCCTGGAAACGGGGGTTTATTTCTGGTTTCCATTAAAAAAAAATCCTCCTGGATACAATGGATTCAACTTTTATATTCACTTAGCGACCGCCACAAAAGGGTCATAAAATCTGATGGTCACCCAATTAACCGCTGCCATAACTTTCAACTGTAATTCCAGGCTCAGTTACAGTCATGAGGACTACTTGTATATTGTTTATTAATACTGTTTGTATGTAAGTATATAAAATATGTGCAAAACATATGTATAATGTAAAATCTATGCTGTTAGTCACTTAAAAGGGTCAGTGAAAGGTCATAATTTACAGATTTAGAATGATTTAGTTTGATGGCATTTTATCTCTGGTCTCTAAATGTCTTCTGCTGCAATCAGTTTGGCAATTTTTAGAATGCTACAAAATACTAGGGCCATTTTTTTGTTATATGGACTAATCCAGATGGCAGAGAGTTAAATATGCCCTGTAGCTTTCCTAAACAGGCTGTTTCCCTTCATCTTTGCAGTCACCACAAAGGAGTATGAGGAACTGACCAAGGCATTGTCGCTTATCAAGGAGGCCATCACAGCTGTTGACACCAAGGTGAATGAGTCTGAGAAAGAGCAGCGCCTCCGGGAAATTGTAACCAAGATGGAACTCAAGTCTTCAGGAAAGTTTAAGAATGGCCTTATCTTCCGGAAGGAGGATATGCTTCAACGGCGCCTCCTACTGGCTGGGATGCTGTACTGGAAAGCTGCTTCTGGGCGCCTAAAAGGTGAATTTTGTGGGTTGTCTGCAAAGGTGGGCTTCAAAAATTTCAGCAATGGATTCTCTGACCAGTTGCCATGGCCTAGCCAGCCTCCTGCACCATGGCGGGTGGGCGGGTGGCGTTTTTGCCTTTCCCAAGCTCCTGAGGTTTCCTCGAGCCTCTGGGAGGGCAAAAACTGCCTCCCTTGGGCTCTGGAGACTCTCCAAAGGCTGGAAACCGGCTCGTTTCCAGCCTTCCAGAACTTCCCCCCTCCCTGAGCCTCCGCACAGACCCTGCACTTACTTGGCATCCAAAATGGGCTGTACGGAGACTCCTAGGAGGGGTGGGGTGAGAGAGGAGGAGTGGGAGGGGCCAGCCAGAGGTGGAATTTGGAAGTTTTCCAAACCGGCCATAATGTTAGCTGTGGGTTCTCCGAACCCTGGCAAACCCATAGCAGCTCACCTGTGGTTGTCTGTTCTCCTTTCCAGGTGTTTACTGCATTGCTCAGTAATCAGACACACAGGAAGAAAGAGACTTGTCTCTCATGCTTGGTTTGCCAAATTAAAAATGGGCAAAATAGCATTTAGTAATGGGCTTCTGCCCCCAAAGATCCTGCCCAGTTGAGAGGGAGGCATTGACTGAAATAATGAGTTATTTATTGAGTCAGTGTCTTTCTCAGGCACCCAAGGGAAAGGCAAAACATTTGTGTCAATTATTGACTTCCAGCCGTTTCACACTTTGAAGCTGTGTCATGTTAACCCCACGATATAGGTGCACTTCCTTCTCTTTGGAGTATTAAATTTGGCCTGCTGATCTTAAGCAAGGAACGTCTTGCTCATGTTCTTGTTATCTGCCTTCTGCTCTGATGTGAGTCATCCTGTGAAGCTCAATCGCTTTTTAAAGTTCTCATTGAGCTCCTTGTCCTTCCCTCCTACAAAAATGTTTTTCTATTTCTTTTTTTCTTTTCTTTTTTTCCTGCAAATCTTTTGAGTCCATCTCCGCCTGACTGGTTAATCCTGTATCTGAGTAACGTTGCTTTGGCAACATAAAAATAGACAACTCTGAAAAGGAGTTTTCTGTTGATATAAGAGATTCAGTTTCCTCGTTTAAAATTCCCCTTTTTAATATTTAGGGATGCATTCAAACGATCTTAGGTATAGTTTTCAACGGAAGGTTTGAGTGGCAAATAGTGAAATAAATATTTGCTCAGAGAAACTGATGCAAAGTCAGGTGGACAGATATTCTTATATAGGAAAACTAGTGTTCAGGCTGTGGATGATGGGAGTCCCCTGAAAATGGAAATTTGAGTTGGTATTTTGGGATGGGCAAACATTGCAGCATTCATATTCAGTCAGTGAAATGATCAGAGTATAAAACTCAGAGGTGGGTTTCTGCTGGTTTGCCCTGAATTGGGTGAACTGGTAGTGGTGGTGGTGGGAGGCTCTGCCTACCCGGCCGGACGTTTCTGTGCATGCGCGCACGAGTGAACCAATAGTAAAATAAATTGAAACCCACCACTGATAAAACTGTACCCTAGAAAGCTACTTATATGCACTAGCACTGGATTTAAATGACACTATTCTGACTAATCCCTCAGAAGAAAAAATTCAACAGCAAATTACCTTGAATTAGTGCCTAGCTAGCTTTTAGAATATTTTAAAAAATTACTTCTTCTGCTTGAAAGGATTATTTTGTTTTCATCTTCCCTTTTCCCAATAATTTTGGCAGATATTTTGGCTGTTCTGCTGACAGATGTGCTTTTGCTACTGCAAGAGAAAGACCAGAAATACATGTTTGCATCTTTGGTACGTATTTCTCTCTGCTAAGGATAGGCAGGGTGGTGTGGAAAACCTGGAACTTTCTGTGGTTTCTGTAATAACAAATAAATCTGAGCTACAGTGAAAAACTCTGGTTTGCTTGGGTCTCGGCCCAGAAAATTCTAGGAACCCAGCATGTCTTAGCCTCAGTCCCCTAACAACTGGCTTCAGCTTTTATAAATTCCTGTAAGTTATTTTAGGTACATCCATTACTATAAAAAAGCCTCAACTGTTTGAGAGCTGATCAGCAAAATGGCATGCTCTTTATTATCATATAGTCAAAATGAATATTTTAATGTTTTTAAATAGGACAGATGAATTTGCTTAGCAATGCTGAGTTCTTATTGGAAAATTTATATTTCATCTGATTTCCATTGTACTGCACTCCTATTTATTTAGTATATCTTCATTTATTTACTAGTATACCTATTTATTTGATATGTTTTCATTTATCTTCTAGTTATTTATGACAATTATAATTAATTGACAAATGTGCAATAAATTTCCTTTCATCTGTTAAATCAAAAGACTGATTTTAATGCATGTATATGTTTTGCATTTCCTTAAAGGAGCCAAATTAGCAAGTTTGATTCTTTAATGTGCGCATGCGCGTGCATGCCTGTGTGCCCCTGTGCGCATCTTTCAAATTGATTATCTAAACAAAGGCTTCCTGTGTGGTGAAATAATAGAGTTGGAGTCCTCTACTCCAATTCCCTGCTCAGGCAGGAGATCTACTGTATTTTTCAGAGTATAAGATGCACCTTTTTCCCTCAAAAAAGAGGCTGAAAATCTGGGTGTGTCTTATACACTGAATACAGCATTTTTTGCCTCCCAAAACCCTGCCCACTTCACCAAAATGGCCATGCATTGCCTTTAGGAGGCTTATAGAGTGCTCCTGTGGGCTGAGGAGGAAGTGAAAAATGGGCCATGTTTTGCTCGTTTTGGGGG